TTAGACTATTAAAGGTGTCTAGACCCCTGTTTATAGATCACCTGAACCCTACTAGTGTCTTTGTCCTTTTATCTCTGAGATGAGATACAAACACATGTGCTCCTGAGTCATGTGGGTAACTATAAATACTTGCAAGAGTATTTGGTATGATGTAGTGTTGCTAGCGTTTCATATTTAGAAAGGTGTAGTCAACTTCTTCTAATTTTTTTTAGCATAAGTAAATTCCTTAACCCTTGATTGAAAGGTTCAGGCATTATGCTGGCCTGCCCCTGTACCTGGTAGAATCCACTCAGGCAATACCCCGGTGAGGCCAGGGTTCCATGGGAACTAAGTCTGCACGCAGGTGTAGAGGACCCCTTTAAAAGACAGACCCCTGCCCATTTACAGTCTCTCTGCCCCTTTTCTCTTCTCTCTGCCTCTTTCTCTCGCCACTAGCCATGGTGGTCAGCCATTAACCCTGTTCCTCTTCTCTCTTAGTCTCTCTATTCTGACAGTCCTATAAAAAATACTGGTTACTATGTCTCTTGGTCTCATGTCTCATCTTGTGCCTCTTCTTCATTTCTTTTTTTTAAAGATTTTATTTGTTATGTATACAACATTCTGCTTCCATGTATATCTGCACACCAGAAGAGGGCACCAGATCTCATAACAGATGGCTGTGAGCCACCATGTGGATGCTGGGACTTGCACTCAGGTCTTCTGGAAGAGCAGCCAGTGCTCTCAACCTCTGAGCCATCTCTCCAGCCCCCTCTTCTTCATTTCTAATTTAAATAAAAGAATAACATTGATCCTGTGAGTTCCAGGCACTGTTCATTTGTATTTCATATCCCTTAGGTTCTAGTGTTTCTAAAGAAAAGTATACAAGAAACACAGAAGTGCCACTGCTTATTTGAACACACACACACACACACACACACACACAGAGAGAGAGAGAGAGAGAGAGAGAGAGAGAGAGAGAGAGGAAATGTGGTATTTTAAAAGAATAACAAGACTACATCATGGATTGGGGGAATGGCAAATGCAAAACTTTCTAACTCTGAGACCAACTCTACCACATTATGTCCCTAGGTATCGCAGATTCTGTACCCTCATGTTGCATCCATGTTCCATGTTTCGGGGGATTTTGAACAAGCAACTTATATACTTTACAATTAATTTTTTCCACCCTCCCCTCCACAAAATCGAGTTACACATCTTATACTAATAAAATGATTTCCATTACGCCAAACTTGCCTACCCCATCTGTGCCAAACTCTTTCAAATGGATATGACTAGAGTATCTTTAATCCACTTCAAAAAGCTCAGGTGGTCTCACCTCCCAAGCCTTGTTCTCTCACACACACATACACCTGGCTCCAGTGAATCTTTAGTGACTCTTATTATGGACTGATGTCTTCGAGTCTGTGATCGGAACCAGCAGAACAACTCCAGGTCTAGTCTTGAGTGGGGGTGTGTGGACTCAGAAAAGCTAACTATCCAACAGTATTAAAGATGAGACAGAGACACGCGGTCATATCAGGAGAGCTATCTGTTAATACTGAAGGCCATGGTTTATTGTTCTATCATCTTAAGTAACCATCCAAAGGTAGGGGCAATGGCAGAAGAAATCTATTATCATGTATAAAGGGCTGATAGCAAATATTTCCATTAATCCTAGAGACACTCCTTTACAGCACGTACTCAAGTCCTAAGGCACCCCACACCAGCATGTCTCACTAGCCTTCAGGGTGGGTATAGACTCTCCCTGTCCCAAGGCTGTTGTTATTTAGAATAGGAGTCATTCCCCACCTAGACTAGGCCATCCAGTGGCTATTAGTCGACTTCTAAAAGACAATAGAAATTCTGGGCTCTCCAGAACTCATGGCTGGGTGGAATATATTTCCAAAATATTATACAGGCCCTGACAGACTCTTCACAACCTACAGAACAAAATCCAACCACCTTACCCTGATATTCAGAGCACCCCAGAGTGCTGCCTCAATCTACCACTGATTTACTGTGTAAGGCTGTCCAGAAAACTGTTTCTTAATGACAGATTTTTTTTATCTCATTTCCAATAACACATTAAAAAACAAAATAAAACAAACAAACAAAAACAAATTCCTGTGCATATCCTTTCCATTCCTGGAAATGTCCGCATGTGCTTAGATCATACAAACACTGTACATCCTTGACTGACACTTTCAAATTCTAGTCTCTTTCCCATACCCCAAGGTCACAATGCCAATCCGATATGAATCCCACAGCCATGAACATATTGCTCATTTGGGATTTATTGTAGACTATGTTGAAGTTGTGACTTTTATACTCTAACTCAATTATATTTCCATTTCTTTGCATTGAGAGCTAACACCATTCCAATCACAAAGTAGGCATTCACTAAACCCTGGCTTTGTCATACATTGATTACTGACTTCTCTGAGAATAATTGAAACCTCATGTAGCTGATGGAATTAGAAAAGCAAAACAGAATTATACAAGTATGCTGTTCTCTTGGTGACTGTTTTTCAGATCTGGGTCTGAAAATGGCCTTAGGCTATTCAGCTTGCCAAATACAATGTGAGAGGAGGCAGTCTCAGCCTGTCTCCTTCCCAAGCTCCAGGCAGTGTGACCTATGCAGAGCCTGACAAGGAGAAAACTGCCCATCTCAAGTCAGTAGCAGGTCTGGTTTGGCCTACCCCTGCTCTGGGCCACTCCCTTTTCCTCCAGCTGGCTCTGAGCTATACACCATCAGGTCTACACCTGGAAGCTGGTAAAAGGAGATAGGTCTAGGATAATCATGACATTCACACTACTCTTGTACCAATTTCATAAACCAAGAGAAAGACTAGAGGATCAGTCATGTGCAGATGACTAAAAGTTGCGGAAAGGGCCAGATTGCACTCCTGGTAATGATAGATATCATAATTGAGCAAGCACAAGTTTACTGACTACTCAGTTCAGTTACCTACAGCCTAGCAGGACATTCGTGGAAACAGAGCTCATGTTGGCATTGTAGATTTGTTTATAATACTAGTTGTCTCAGAGATGGAAATAAAGTACTTTGAGGAAGAGACACTTTTATCTAATTTGCAAGGATACCTATGGTCTCATTAGACCACTTTCTCCGTCAAACCCTCAGTTCCATGAGTTCTATTAGCGTCTTTTGGTATCTGTGAGCAACAGAATCATAAATGCTTTCTTTAGTTAAGTGTGGTGGCTCATGCCCATGATTCCTACATTCAGGAAGCTGAGGCAGGTGAATTGCCAGAAGTTCTAGGCCAGCTTGGTTTAGAGTGTGAGACTTTGTCTCAAAAACAAACAAAACAGTAACAACAGTTTTTCCTTTTGTTCTGGAGAGGGAAACTGAGAAGAAAACTGGGAAAATAGGGGATGGAAATGAGGAAAATGGTGTGACTTCAACTCTTTATTTAGCAGGAAAGAATCTAAACTCTTCTGGGCGCTTCCCAGTTCAGTCAAGTTGACAGTCTCGATTAATCACCATAGATGCAGACAGTGGAGCTGCAGGATGGCAGGTGTGGCTAATTCGGTCTATTTGTATGTATCACTTGGAACATCTCAGGCTTAAGAGACAGCCACATAGCAAGAGGTCAGCCACCTCTGGAGAGTTTGAGGTCTTGCTGATTCACCCACCATATATTAACTGGCTTAGTGAAGAAGCCATTTGTTCTTTCATTTAGCACAGTCAGTAGTCCTCTCTAAGGAGGTAACTCATATGGAGAAGCCCAACATGAGGCAAGTGGCCTCTTTGGGGGAAAGAGCACATGGATTGCCAGCCAGGAAGCTTTGTGTCAGGAGCTGCAAATCAGCTAGTGTGGCCGGAACCATCGATATGTGAAGGGTAAGGGCAGGTGAGATGAGAGACCATGGTCTGAGGTATGTAGTTATGGCTCTTAAGTCAATAACCATTTTGGATAGCCACAGCTATCATTTTTGCTAGCCTAGAAGCTGGTAAACTTAGCTTAGAGCATGCTAATGGTCTACCTTAGGTTGGCCAGTCTGAAGCTGATTAAGCAACCATGGGTAGCTTCAGTCTCAGGGGAGCCGATGCCCTCTTCTGGCCTCTGTGGACAAGGCATGCACATGGACACACACACACACACACACACACACACACACACACACACACACACGTAATGCCTCTCTGTGGCTGAGAAGACCCACTACGCTGTAAAAACCTTGTTGTAGGTATGGCAACACTTTCCACACCAGCAAATCCTTTCTGACCTCTCGGGCTCTGCATCCATCTTCAGGCATCCTCCTTGTTGTCCAGAAGGCCCACTAGCAGTGTTCTCTCTGATGATGTCAACGCTTTGGGGTTGGGCTCTCATTTAGAAATGGGAACACCCCCTCCTCCCTTTGTGATTCAGAGGTCTGGTCTCCTTAACATTTGTACATTTATTTAATTGAAACCCAGTTCAAAAGCCGAGAGCTTGGAAATTGCTTGTCTGATAACAAAAACATATAAAGCCTTCTTCCTGCTGTTTCCCAGGTGCCTGCAAATACCCTGGAAATTCAGCGGCCCTGGGACTGCTTTGACAATTCTACTTCTGGACCAATGGATAGAAAGAAATAAAATTAGAAGGTGGTGGAAGAAAAACTGGTTTAAATTTATTTGAGGCTTGGCAGGGCTTTGCTCAGGTTGGGGTGTTAAGGACCACTGGCTTGTTCCTGTCACGTCTGGCTTGGATGGCTTTTGAGTTCCTACACCCAAATCTTCAGGGTTAGAACGGGGATTTCTTGTTCTGTTGATGATTCACCTTCAGCTCTCATGTTCATGGGGACACATGAGTCACTGCCATTTCGGAAGGAACGACAGATGGAAAGAACCTCCATTTTCAGGGTAGGGAGGTTACATTCCCAACCCAAAGCAAACACTGGGCCCTCAGGGGCCACTTGTGAGTTCTTCCGGGCATTTCATATGGTGGTATTGTGGAACACCTGGGTAGGTAAATCCTACAAAGCCTATGAATAGAAAGTCAGGGTCTTGGGTAACCTGCATTCTCTAAAATGACTGGGTACCATTTCAGGACTGATGTATTTCCTAAAAGATATGCTGCCTTCGTGACCATGGCAGCTGGGGCTGTGCAGCAGCCGCAGTCACAGTAGGCCCCGTCACTGCTGTATAATGCTGCAATCCTGAAACCATCTGAGCTGACTGACAGTCCCCATGGGATCCATCTGGTGACATCAAGCTGTAAGGTAGGCAGACTTCCTAAAGCTGGTAGTGATCCCACCTGGGTTGCACACAGACCAATGTCACTAGCCAGCTACCCAGCTGAACTGTGCTAAGGTGGCTCAGTTTAAAGAAGGGCAAATCCTAGGTAGATGTGAATTTCTTATGCAACACTTCGAACATAGTCATCGTCTTTTGTCACAAAGCCTCTCCTAGTTTAGTCCCTCCCCCACCCCATGCACTGACCCAGGCCTTGCTTTTATAGCTCTTGCTTTACAGGGCTACACAAGAATGGCTCATTGCCCAAAGCTTTTAGGTGGTTTTAAGTTTCCAGCTCACATACCTACAACCTTATATTCTAGCTGCTTAGCAGGGGCATTCGCAGTGCTCGCCACTGTGGCCACAGAACAAAACAATGTTTGCCATGTATACATATCTCACAGGTCATGCCACAGAACTTCCTGGTATGTACCTGGTACACACACACACACACACACACACACACACACACACACACACGGCCTCCAACAAGCAGAATAAAACCAAATGTGTGACTCTTTGAAAACCGACATTGCTGAATCATGGCAGAGGTGGAATTTGCTAGCGTCTCCTTATTTTGCTGAAATATAGCTGTGTCTTTGTAGAATAATTTGTTTCCTGGGAAGGGTGATAGGAAAAAAGACCTGGTTTTCTGAGTGTCACTAGGTAAGTGTGTCTGTCATACCACACTGTATGGTTTTGCTGCTGGAGCTGAGCTTCTTGGAAGGAACATTTATTTCTTGCTGCACTTTGAGTCTTTTGCATAACGCATGCTGAGTACCTACTACGTGCCGTGTGAGATCCCAGCCAAGTTTTGCAGGTTGTGCTAGTCACTGAGGTAACTTTTCTGTCCTCTGATACACCAGTCTGTAATTTCTTTGCTAGTGATATAAAAGACAAGTTACATGTGTTCATATCTAACTGTGAAACAATAACTTCATAGCTGAAGTCTCACTGGAGCCCTCTTGCCGCAGACATTTTGATCTTTTCCATGGGAATTACAGTGTCATAGTAAAGAAGTAAGCTCTTTTCCATATTTTGTAAATGTGGGTAGACTGCTGCCCTAGGGCAGAGCGATTACAGTCTGCTCATGTTAATTAATTATGCCTATTTCAATGCAGAAGTAGAGCAGGGGTGGGCTTGGAGCATCGTCCCCACAGTCTATGGGCTGCTGGGCTCCACAACAGGGCTGTTGTTCAGCCCACTGTTGCCTTTGGCTCCCCCTTGGCATCGATGCTTAATTGCATTCCAACTGGGAAAGTCTGAACCTGTCTGCTGAGCCTTCTTGGCAGGTGTGTAACCAAATGTCCCCAGGCCTCACTGGTTTGTGGAGACCAATTAGACCTCACTTCCACTCAAATGCTTCTAGCTGATTGCTCCACCTGAGATGCTCTGGGTCTCCATGCATCTTCTTTCTCACAGTCTCTGTGCTCCTGGGGTAAGGCCATAGGAGGAATCAAGCATGCTCAGAAACAGTTTGTAGATCTTGGATGTACATAGTTTGTTGGCCACTAGAAGCTATCACTATGTTGATACCCTGTGTCCCACTTCCTCTGTTGGGACTAAATCTCTCCCTTAGCCACACCCAGTACCTTCCAAGAGCTTTGGGGTGCTGAGAATATGGGGAGAACTAGTGACCTGGGAGAAGACTCTGAGTGAACTAAAACCATTTCACAATTCAGAACACCCAGACAGCTCGATCATGCAAGCCCTTACCACACATCTCTTACGTAGGTCCTATCTGCCAGTGGCATAAAGCTAACCCCTTGGCTCAGTTGCAAAGTGCCCCAGAGCTTCACATTCTCTGAATTCCTCCTTCTCCTAGCCAAGACCCTTCTTGCCTCCTGGGGAAAACACCCTCACCCACCCTGCCTTGCTTTTCATTGTTTGAGTCCCAAAACTGTTTGCTTGGCTTCAGGCTCTCGTTTTGCTCTCTGTTGGGGTTCAAGTGTTGTTGGGCCTCCCTCCTCGTCCCACCCCAACTGCCTTAGTTCTTTCTTAGGGCCCAGATACCTCCTGACTCCTTTAGCTAAAAACAAGATGATGCAGCTCAAGCACACTAGCAGTTGTGCTAAGATAAGAATTCCAAGCTCCTGGATCGTATATCTGCCTGGCAATCTCCCTGCTAGAAGAGAGGCCGAGAACCTCCAAGATGTGAACTCCTTTTCTTAGCCTTAGGTAGAAGTCAGCTGACAGCTTACCTAGGATTCCTTTTCCTGAATGGTCCTGCACTGTTTCCACAAGGGTTGAATGAGCTACACATTGAAAGTTATAACTTCAGTAAGAGGTTAGACCCTTGTATATTCTTAAGGCCCAACAAATACTGTGAAATGGCTACTGGCCATGACATTTATTATTATCTAGAAGCCCATTAAAATATTTATTTTATCTTATTTTTTTAACATTTTTTTTATTTTTTGTTTTTTTATCAGAAAGAAACTTATTTTACATGTCAATCCCAGACCCCTCTCCCTCTTCTCCTCCCCTTCCCTCCCCCGAAACTAACGTACTACTTATCCTATACCCTTTCTGCTTCTCAGTAAGGGTGAGGCCTTCCATGGGGGGGGCTCTTAAAATTCTGTCATGTTCTTTGGGGTAGGGCCTAGGCCAACTCAGAGAGTATCCCTCCATGTGGAACTGGCTCCTAAAGTCCATTCCTATGCTAGGGATAAGCTGATCCACTACAAGATGCCCCATAGATTTCTGACACCCACAAGATAATTATTGAGTCAAGTATGGCAGCTCATTCCAGCACTCAGGAGACTGAGACAGGAGGATTGCTATGAGTTTGAGGACAGCCTAGGCTGCATAGAGAGTTCCAGGCTAGCCTGGGCTACATAGTGAGTGAGTTCCAGACCAGCCTAGGTCGCAATTGTGATATATGATTTCCATGGCAGGAATAATTTTCTAGACAACATCTGGATGGGAAAAGGTGAATGGTAAATAAATTGATCAATAAGAAGAGTGATAATAAAATATCTACAGATTTGGGGTGATACAATGAGGGGTACCTAGATGATACCTTAGAGCAGAATGCCAGATAAGGCACCTCTGAGGAGGTGATAAAGTTAGATTGAAGGGGATCCATCCATGCGAAGATCAGAGGAAAGAGAAACCCAGAGAAAGGGACAGGGAGAGAGCAAGCAGGCTGAAAGCATCTTGGAGCTGGGACGTTGTCTCCAATGATGGCAGCTGGGGAAGGACAAGGCAGGACTCGGCTTCAGCCGAATGGAGGAGAGATAGTGACTAGGCCACGTTAGTCATATCCATCCTGGAAAACAGCCAGGCTTAGGACCTCTTGGGGTGGGGCTGACAGGACTTCCTGGTTGGTCACATGAACATTAGTAGCTCTTTAGATGACAAGAATGGCCACCAATAGCCCCTCCCAGCTCAGACGCAGGTAGTCTGACTTGGTGCTCACCAGAGTATCCAGACAGTGGCATATCTACCAGGAGGGGAAAGGACTGTCCTTCTACCCCTGTTGCCAGATGAAGCCTTTGCTTTCAAATATTTTAAATTACAGTCTTGAAAGGCAAACTATAGCTAATTCCACAGGCTAGAAAGCCAAATAACTTGAAAGTAGCCCAAGATGAGGAAAAGTACAGTCAAGTGGCTAAACATTCTGTGTTTCCTGCTGAACTGTCTGTGGCAGCAGGAGTGAGAGGTGAGGGCTGGGGCTGGACTGGGGAGACTCGGAGAGCAGTCTCATTTCTGAGTTTAAATTGTTTTACCTAAAGATAAACCGGAAGGCTATTCTTATGAAAACCATCTAGTCTCTAAGGGCTCCAAACCCAGACTCCAAAGGAAGCCCTGCTTTGCTGAGAGTCACCATTTCTCTGTATTTGCTAATTTCACAACTCAATGAAAACATGAAAATTCCTGAAAGAGTGATATGAGAGAACAGGACCTTCTGGGAGCCCAAGGAACTCACAGACCCCTGACTGTTATCATGTACTTATCTCTGTAGTCCATACTGTTCCTTAGGGGTCTTTATTGACAAACAGTACTGAAGTGACTCAAGCCTGGGACAGTGATCTTCTTTCCCAGAACTGGGAGTGTCCCCAGCTAGCCAGACACAGGAGCACTTTTTTTTTCCTTTGAGGTATGACTCTTTCTCCTCATCCTTAGTCACACACAGTTACTCACTATTTCGAGGGGCATGAAGAGTTTATTCATGGCCACAGAGCACTCTGCACCGCTTTGTTGAAGGAGGAAAAGTGCAGACGGCTGAGTCACTGTTTTCAATTCAATTTTCATTTTCACCTGGGGGCAAGGTTTCCCATATCCATATAGTTTTATTGCTTTCCGAATCACTCTGATCATATACTTTGCAGGATAATTCATTCTTTTGCTTGAGGATATTAATAACATGAAGTCTTAGTGTGGGGCAACAGTAGCAAAGAATTCTTAAGGATATGCAAAAAGTTGAAATCCAGTGAGATTGAGTAACTCACATTCAAGGTCTAAGAGATGTAGCCGAGAGGGGAAAAATAGACAATTCTGAACCTTGAAGCCATGGCAGAGCTTTGTTGCTTCAAAGAGAGCTATTCCATGCAGTTTTAAAACCCCCAAATTATTTAATTAAATGGGTCTTACACATCATTATAAACCCAGCCTCATTACACAGAAGTATATTCATGTATTTAATCAGGAAGATATTTTAAGTCCACTATTACATGGAACACATAGATACATGGGCCTTTTCTTTAAGGACCCTTTGTGTAGCTGGATTAAAAACAAACAAACAAAAATTTTCACAGGAAGTAGTTTGTTGACAGCCAGATGTGGTGTGTGAGATGAGGCCAAATGAGAGGTGTAGATGCTGGAGGTCCAAGGATTTCCTGCCTGAAGTAGTCAAGCTGACCTAGCTGAAGGATTCCTGAAGGGCTATCAAGATACAAATGGGGGATGCTCAGGAGCAAGGCACTTGGGAAACAGGAACAGTATGTGTCAAGGAACAGACTAGGAAGCACTAAAGTGTACCTGA